CACTGAGTGGGATCGGCTATATGAATCTTAGAACGCCATTGTGCTCGGTCCTGTGTCATGTCCTTCGTTAGATCCAAGTACTCTAAGTCTTTTCTTAGAGTCTCTTCCAAAGTTTTCCTAGGTCTTCCTCTACCCCTTCGGCCCTGAACCTCTGTCCCATAGTCGCATCTTCTAATCGGAGCGTCAGTAGGCCTTCGTTGCACATGTCCAAACCACCGTAACCGATTTTCTCTCATCTTGCCTTCAATTTCGGCTACTCCTACTTTACCCCGGATATCCTCATTCTTAATCTTATCCTTTCTCGTGTGCCCACACATCCAACGAAGCATCCTCATCTCCGCTACACCCATTTTGTGTATGTGTTGATGCTTCACCGCCCAACATTCTGTGCCATACAGCATCGCTGGCCTTATTTACCGTCCTATAAAATTTTCCCTTGAGCTTCAGTGGCATACGGCGGTCACACAACACGCCGGATGCACTCTTCCACTTCATCCATCCAGCTTGTATATTCTATGGTTGAGATCTCCATCTAATTCTCCGTTCTTTTGCAAGATAGATCCTAGGTAACGAAAACGGTCGCTCTTTGGTATTTCTTGATCTCCGATCCTCACCCCTAACTCGTTTTGGCCTCCATTTGCACTGAACTTGCACTCCATATATTCTGTCTTTGATCGGCTTAGGCGAAGACCTTTAGATTCCAAGCACTTCTCTCCAAAGGTTAAGCTTTGCATTTACCCCTTCCTGAGTTTCATCTATCAACACTATATCGTCTGCGAAAAGCATACACCAAGGAATATCATCTTGAATATGTCCTGTTAACTCATCCATTACCAACGCAAAAAGGTAAGGACTTAAGGATGAGCCTTGATGTAATCCTACAGTTATGGGAAAGCTTTCGGTTTGTCCTTCATGAGTTCTTACGGCAGTCTTTGCTCCTTCATACATATCCTTTATAGCTTGGATATATGCTACTCGTACTCCTTTCTTCTCTAAAATCCTCCAAAGAATGTCTCTTGGGACCCTATCATACGCTTTTTCCAAATCTATAAAGACCATGTGTAAATCCTTTTTCCCATCTCTATATCTTTCCATCAATCTTCGTAAAAGATAGATTGCCTCCATGGTTGAGCGCCCTGGCATGAACCCGAATTGGTTGTCCGAAACCCGTGTCTCTTGCCTCAATCTATGCTCAATGACTCTTTCCCAGAGCTTCATTGTATGACTCATTAGCTTAATACCCCTATAGTTCATGCAATTTTGTACGTCGCCCTTATTCTTGTAGATAGGCACCAAAGTGCTCGTTCGCCACTCATTTGGCATCTTCTTCGTTTTCAAAATCCTATTGAAAAGGTCAGTGAGCCATGTTATACCTGTCTCTCCCAAAACTTTCCACACTTCGATTGGTATATCGTCTGGGCCTACTGCTTTTCTATGCTTCATCTTCTTCAAAGCTACAACCACTTCTTCCTTCCGGATTCTACGATAAAAAGAGTAGTTTCTACACTCTTCTGAGTTACTCAACTCCCCTAAAGAAGCACTCCTTTCATGTCCTTCATTGAAAAGATTATGAAAATAACCTTTCCATCTGTCTTTAACCGCGTTCTCTGTAGCAAGAACCTTTCCATCCTCATCCTTGATGCACCTCACTTGGTTTAGGTCCTTTGTCTTCTTTTCCCTTGCTCTAGCTAATTTATAGATATCCAACTCTCCTTCTTTGGTATCTAGTAGTCGCTTATACATATCGTCATAAGCCGCTAACTTAGCTTCTCTCACAGCTTTCTTCGCTTCTTGCTTCGCTTTTCTATACCTTTCACCATTTTCATCGGTCCTATCCTTGTATAAGGCTTTACAACATTCCTTCTTAGCCTTCACCTTTGTTTGTACCTCCTCATTCCACCACCAAGATTCCTTTTGGTGTGGGGCAAAACCTTTGGACTCTCCTAATACCTCTTTTGCTACTTTTCGAATACAACTAGCCATGGAATCCCACATTTGGCTAGCTTCCCTCTCTCTATCCCACACACACTGGGTGATTACTTTTTCTTTGAAAATGGCTTGTTTTTCTTCTTTTAGATTCCACCATCTAGTCCTTGGGCACTTCCAAGTCTTGTTCTTTTGTCTCACTCTTTTGATATGTACATCCATCACCAACAAGCGATGTTGATTAGCCACGCTCTCTCCTGGTATAACTTTGCAATCCTTACAAGTTATACGATCCCCTTTCCTCATTAGGAGAAAATCTATTTGTGTTTTTGACGACCCACTCTTGTAGGTGATCACATGTTCTTCTCTCTTCTTAAAGAAGGTGTTGGCTAAGAAGAGATCATATGCCATTGAAAAATCCAAGATAGCTTCCCCATCCTCGTTTCTCTCCCCAAAACCATGGCCACCATGGAAACCTCCATAGTTGCCTGTCTCCCTGCCCACGTGTCCATTTAAATCTCCTCCTATAAATAACTTCTCCGTCTGAGCAATTCCTTGCACCAAGTCTCCAAGGTCTTCCCAAAATTTCTCCTTCGAACTCGCATCCAACCCTACTTGAGGTGCGTACGCACTAATCACATTGATAAGTTCTTGTCCTATTACAATCTTGATTGCCATGATTCTATCTCCTACCCTCTTGACATCTACGACATCTTGTGTCAATGTCTTGTCCACGATGATGCCAACACCGTTTCTCGTTCTATTTGTGCCCGAATACCAAAGTTTAAACCCTGAGATTTGCATGATCAGTAGAAATAGTCCCTGAGATTGTCCGCCATCCATGATTTTGGTCATTCCATTAAAAACTCAGTTAAGTGTCCTGGAGCTCTTGGCTGGAAGTTTGGGCAATTTTCAAAGCTTCGTAATCCAATCATTTCTTAACCAAATTCGACCCATAATATATCAAAATGAAGATAGGAAAGTGTAGAACAAGATTATACCTATTTGGAAGCCCAATGACTGCCAGAGATGGCCAAAAAATAGCTGAAATGTGACAGATCAGTGGGAAAACTGGAAAACTCGCCGAAAACTGGGTAAACTTTAAACGTTTATAACTTCTTCAATACTTAACGAAATCGAGTGATTCAAAAATAAAAATCATACTTCTCAATAAGACAAAGAGAATGGTATCTTTTTTTACTGCTAACTCGTCGTGGTTTGGCCTGAAACCTGTTCGAAAGTGGCTAACTCGAAAATGGTTAGCCACTTTCGAGCCGTTGTCCGACCAAACCACGGCGAGTTAGCCTTCGAAAAAGGTACCATTACCTTTGTCTCGTCAAGAAGTATTATTTTTGTTTTTGAATCACTCGATTTGGTTGAGTATTGAAGAATTTATGTACGTTTAAAGTTTACCCAGTTTTTGGCTAGTTTTCTAGTTTTTTCTCATACCAGTCACCTTTCAGGCTATTTTCTGGCCATCTCCGGTAACCATTAGGCTTCCAAATAGGTACAACCTTATTCTACACTTTCCTATCTCCATTTTGATATATTATGGGTTAAATTTGGTTAAGAAACAATTGAGTTATGAAACTTTGAAAATTGCCCAAACTTCCAGCCAAGAGCTCCGGGACACTTAACAGAGTTTTTAACGGAATGACCAAAATCATAGATGGTGGACAATCTCAGGGACCATTTCTATTGATTTGAAATCTCATGGACCATTTCTATTGATCATACAAATCTCAGGGACCATTTTGTATAATGACCCTATGATCTCATGCTATAATAGGTTTCATGTTGTAAAAATAGTATGAATGCCCACTATGAAAACAGTGTGAATATAAACATGATGACTTTGGCAATCGGATCATGGATTGGTCGGTATTGGTCGAGAGAGGGTTTTCGCCGGATCTTCTTTGTGAGGATTCCAAAAATTCTCTAATCACATCTGGTTGTAAATTATTTTATTTAAAATTGAATATAAACAGTACCTGATAAAGTGACCGCACGATGCACGATGAATGGATGTGATTAGAGGATCCTCTCTTGTATTGGTCACCTAATTTTTGTATTTTATATTATTCACAAATAGGAAATGGGGTGTTGAACGAAGAAAAAATAGTTGGTCATCTGCCTATAAAACCAAGAGGAGAAAAGAGAGAAAAATAGTGAGATTTATTTTGTACTCCTATTATTTCGAGCGAAACCACTATTATTGCCCCAAGGACATAGGCACATTTGCCGAACCTTGTACATATTGTGACTTATTTATTTTATAATCCATTGCACACATATTCTCATTTCACAACATATGACATGTATAATATCATATATATATATATATATATATAGGAAATTTTTAAGGGAAGGGATCTCCATTTTTTCATAAAAATGGGGATTAGTTGATGGGTTCACACCACATCGAATTTTAACAATCCGAACTGTTTATTTTTCAAGTTGAACCTCATGGATCATTAGCCAAATCGGAAATATTTAAGACATCTAATTGGATTCAAAAAAATTAACGAACACTTTGTTATATAAGAAACAAAGAAATTTTATCTTCATAATTAAATAGGCAAATGATTTTGGATTAAATTGGATTTTTGCAAAGATGATCTATAAATCGAGACTTACAAAGGGATCCCCATTTTTTCTAAAAAATAGGGACTAGGTGTGGGGCCCACTCCACATTGAACTTCAACGATCCGAACAGTCTAGTTTGTAAGTTTCGATCATAGATCATCCTTGCAAAATTTCAATTCAAGCCATAATCATTTGCCTATTTAATTATCAAGATAAAATTTCTGTGTTTCTTATATAACAAAGTATTTGTTAATTTTTTTGAAACCAATTAGATATCTTAAATATTTCCGATTTGACTAATATTTTGCAAAGATGATCTATAAAGTGCAACTTGAAAAATAGACAGTTTGGATCGTTAAAATTCGATGTCGTGTGGACCCATCAACTAATCCCCATTTTTATGAAAAAATGGGAATCCCTTCCCTTAAAGGCTTCCTTTATGTGTGTGTGTGTATATATACACACATAAGTTTAGGCTAAATCACTCATAGGCAACCAAAACTACTTGATTTCCAACATTTCTGCCACTAAAAAGTCCCACAAGAGCTGCAGGAGCACTCTCAAGGCCTTAAAGGCTTCCTTTATGTGTGTGTGTATATATATGTACACATAAGTTTAGGCTAAATCACTCATAGGCAACCAAAACTACTTGATTTCCAACATTTCTGCCACTAAAAAGTCCCACAAGAGCTGCAGGAGCATTCTCAAGGCCTTCAGCTATGTCTTCCAGATACACTATTTTCCCTTCTCTGATGTAGGGGATCACCATGTCCAGAAACTTGGGGTAGAGGTGGAAATAATCAAACACGACGAAGCCTTCGATGCGAATCCGATTGTAGATGATAGAGACGAGGTTGCTAAAGTCTTGCGGCTGTTTGAGACTGTAATATGAGATCAATCCGCATACCGCAATTCGGCCATGACGTCTCATGTTAAGGAGCACAGCATCCAGCATTTTTCCTCCAACGTTCTCAAAGTAAATGTCAATGCCTTCAGGGAAGTACCTTTTCAAAGCTGCCTCCAGGTCAGGCTCTTCCCTATAATTGAAAGCCTCATCAAATCCAAGCTTGTTCTTTAGTAGATCGACCTACGGCCATGAAGGCAAATTGTGGACTTTATGATACACACACACACACACACACACACACACACACATACAAATACAGTTATTGCGTATAAGATGTCCATTTTTTTTTCTTAAGAAATGGACTCTTTGAGAAAACCTTGTTTCTTTCCAATTTTCTCCATCTTTAGAGTGTAGAATCACCTTTCAAAGTGTAGAACTTAAACTTTATGGGTTCTAATCTCGGATTAGTTGATGGCTTCGATTATGCGTTTTAAGTAGTATTAAAGTTGAATAAACTTTATCATAAAGTGAGACTTTCTTGAAAGGTCCGTCCTTTATAAAAGAACGAACGTCCTGTAAAAAGAATCTCTATTGCTTTAACTTGTTTTTAATACGGTAATATTTGACACTAAGTGGAAGGAGGATATGTACTTTATGGAGAGGGATTGGCAAGGCCACACAATGGCCCAACCGCTTACTAGGTATCAAACTCAGCACAAATATTATACATCCGTGCCATCCATTTGAATCGAACATGAGACCCCTCACTTACAAATGAAGATGAATGCTACTAGACAGTAATACTAGTTGGTTTAGTCACTTGAACTTTGTTTGCTTAAACTTGCACTTAATGAGGGTTCTCCTTAATCATTAATTTTATCCCTAAATGATTATAAAGCTAATAACTCACCTTCTCTTTGCTTCCAACACTTCCAACAACATAGCATCCCATTAGCTTTGCAAACTGCCCAACAAGCTGACCAACTGCACCAGCTGCGGCTGAAATGAAGACATAATCTCCTTTCTTCAGCGAACAGATTTCATGAAAACCGACGAAGGCAGTTATACCCGGCATACCTAAATGATTCAAAGAAATAAAAGATTAATATAGTGATTATAAAAAGTATGAACATATATAACTCATAGTTATGATGAAGAACTAAAACATACCAAGAAGTCCAGTATAGTTGGAAAGGGGAACATCAGTGTGGTGGATTTTAAAGAGCTGTTCTGGTTCTGTGATGATGCTGTAATCTTCCCATCCAGTCGTCCCCCAAACCAAGTCACCTTCCTTGAACTCCGGGTGCCCCGACTCCAAAATTTTAGCCACTCCAAACCCATTTAATGGCTGAAGAAATCCATCAACAAGTATTTATTTTCAGATTTTTCATTTAGTGAATTCAGTTCTAACATGCTTAAGCCAGATGATTGAATCTCAACACACTAAAATGAGAAAGCATAGTGATTTCATACTCCATCTTCTCCTTCCCCTATACTATTCTTTGATTTATTCAATCCAATCGCTAAAAAAAAGAGATGAGTGCAGAGGATAAAGGAGAGTGAGAAAATAATTTTCTGATAAAAAATACTTGAATATGGTCATTCGTGCTACGTCAGTCTGGAAACACAAAAAGACATTTCGATGTCTACAGAGTTATCTGCCCAAGACAGACAAGGGTGATTCCCTTCATTCAAGTCCTACATAGACCTATTTTGGTGCCCCTGAATGCAGGGGATCCCCTTATGCGTGTCTTAGGCAGGACGTGGAACGTGGAAATGGTGGTTCTTGATCACCACTGCCTTGTCGTCCTACAATCTATAAATCACAAAAATACATAACCAAAACAGAACATACATTGATAATCATGGAACCAAACAGAAAATCAAGAAAGCCAAAGAGAGTGCTCACAGAGCCAGGAGTGAGTGAAGTGAAGACACTATTAGGAGGTTGAGTTCTATCCATTCGAATCCTCAAATAAGCGTCGCACGACAAGTAAAGGTTCTTGACCACAACTGCCTTGGAGTCCTGTGGAACCTTGAGCTTCAAGGTACTAACTGTCACGTGCATGTCGGACTCTTCGGCTTTTTCAGAGACATAGTTCTTGAGTACCACCTGCTTGTTCCTCACTTCCTCTACGCCACTCGCCATTGCCATTGCCATTGCCGTTGCTCAACCAAAACCAAACTCTCTATATATCTTTTCAGGTCCTCTGTTTCTTTGAAAAAAATATGTATAGTATGTTGATTAAAGTGCTTATTTTTTATTGATAACACGTCATTTGATTTACTTAGCATTATCCTTAATCTACATGTCAAAATTTGCTTTATTTTGTTTGTCAGCGTGTTTGAGGTGTTGTATGATGGCACGTGTATGGTTGGATATATCATATATCTCCTTCCATTCCATTTCTGCTCAAGATAGCTACGGCTTTGTCATCATCTTAAGGAATCATAGACGGAACAAATAGTATAGCTGTCAAGAAAAGTCCATGCTCCTAATCTTTAAGAGCATTCCACCACACGAATACACTGACATTGCCACATGGGGTCCCTTGTCATTCAAGCAACATAACCAACACAAAGTTGTCCGCGTGACCAACTTCCATGATATAAGTACACCGCCACTATAGTGTTTGGTGTCAATCATACAATGTCATGTGAAAATATACTTGCACATAGCATTGCCCACATGACACGAAACATCACGGTAACGATGTTGGTTAATACAAGATGCCACAGTTACTATATACTCGTTCCATGGAAGTCTTTTTCGTCATTCATTCTCAGAAAAATCATCATCAAACTCCTTTTATGTCAATGTAGTGAATGAATGTTAAACATTGTGCATATACTAGTTGAGTATTTGTAGGAGTTTCGTCATCTGGGAAAAACAGTACCATTCACAATTTCACACAGAAACATAGCTGCCTGTGTTTGATGTGTAAAGGATACTCTGTCCAGAAACAGCATGGGATTTCTAATCACCAAAGCGTCGTCCATGAACCTTTACTACGACATAAATTCTAGCTCATTCAACTGGGAAAAAATTAGTCGTTTTACGCCACAAAGACGACACTTCATTTTACGTCACTCCATGTACCCTGAAAATAAATCAATCAAAAGGAGGAGAAAGACAACCGTTGATTTCTGGACATGGAATCATCGCAGCCATATTTGAAACGTATACAGCGATGGTATTTCAGCAACCGAAAAAGAAAATGTAGAGAACTGAACAAGATTACAAGGCAGAAGTAATGTGCTGCTGCATACAAAAGCTGAATTAAGGAAGAAATTATATCATAAATATCAATACTGGTGTTTTTCTATTAGACAAGCTAGGAAGCTATTGAATTGCATCTCAGACAACTTAATTACATCACAGTTGCCCGCTTGTTTCACCGAGTTAATTCAACTCTACATATTGATTTCAAAGGGTAACTATAAATAAGCAAACTTTTTTATCATATATATAATTCCCAACAAAAATTTGTTGGAAAATAATTCGATACAGAGGCGTAATCTGGAAATGGTGGAAGCAGCACTACAACTCTCACCTTGAAAGTTCTACAGATGAATTTTCGAATGGTTTTCAGCATTCTGGAGATGAATTTTGTCGTCATTACCATCCTCCAGTTATTCGGGCATTAGAAGCCATAGTGAATTGGAACAAGAGGTGAGTTGCTCAATTGATCAGGTTACTGTTTAACTCTAGAATTTACTAACCACGAAGATTTTCGTGGAAAATTAACATTATTCACACATTTTCCCAGCATAAATGGTAACAGAGACATGCAAACGGTTATCGCATCTGCATTACCTTATAGACGAAACAAGCAACTTGCAAGCATTCACTATAGTAAATTTATGCTTCAACAGGGTCTTTCGCTCCCTCAGTTCTGTTCCCTTCAAGTGGTTTTCTGACTGTCTCAACCGTGGAGACTTCTTCCTTACCATCTTCGTCAGAACTACCCTTGTTGCTAACGAAGATCCCTAAAAAGAGTAGTGCAAGCTTATTAACCTGATGCCGCTCAAAAAAATTCACTCGTTTTAAAAATTTATAATACCAATTGAAGAAATTATTATAACTAATTGTCCTTCACCAACCTATGAACCATATTCCAGACGCAAGAAACAGAACAGATGTCACAGCAAGAGTTGTTATCCTCCAATTTTTAACATGATCCTGCATATGAAAAGAACAAAACCCAAAACAGGAAAAACGAACACAGTGAGGATGCTAAACCGACAAGACAACCCTTCTATGAAAATTCACTCCAAACTGAACACTGGAATCAACTTCTTTCCCTTGTTGTCGGTATACTGCCTAGGAGCTGCTTCTCCAAATAACAACAGTAATAGAGTGACATAATTATATCACCTAAACATCAGCTGTAATCTCCACTTCTCAAACAAATTATATAGAAAAGAACTTTGAAGGCGCACCTGGAGTATTCCAGCAAGAGGCGAGGAAGGAACATCACCAAAGATGTGGATTGAAACAGTTGAGACAGCCATAGCCAATGGCCTAAGACTTGGTGTCACGCACCGCAGAGACACATAATTAACTGGAGCCTGCCAAGGAAAAGTGATTAACAGGGTAAACGTTATATAAAACTGGAATAGTATGTTATATTTATTATATATCAGTGAGCAGTCATTATCATATTATATGCTTCAGACCAACCACATATGTGTGGGTTTTCATCCCTACTGGTGGTGCTATGTGCATAATCAAACGTTGAGTTATGGAGTTAAAGTTTAGTAGACAAGATCATACTCATCATATACTAATCCACTCGTTATTATAAGCAGACTATTACAAATTGAAGTTTAGCGTGCACAGTATGCATTGAAACAACCAAGTTCAACCCAGATTGGAGAATTTTAAGATTACCTGGGTTGCAAACACAAGGAGCTCCCCCAATGCGAAGAGAACTACAAAACCATACAAGTTCCTTACACAGAAGGCACTGAAGCAAAATATTGCGCCTAGAAATGTTGCAACAGAGAGAAGCTGTGAAAGAAGCAAAGGGTTTCAACAGCACATTCTAATAAAACCTGTTAAAGAAGACCGAATCGTAAATGCTGGACACAAGCAGAACTCACCTTAAAAGCGTTATAAATTGTGGCAGTCACTGCATCAAGGATGAGCCCTCCAGCTAACGTCCCCAGAATTCCACAAACAATTGTAATACCTCCGAACCACAAATCTGGCTTATTCTGTCCAAAGTTCCAATGAACGAGAATACTGTCAGAATTGTTAGAACATTATTTGCTTTATGCTAGACTGCCGTTATTAATATAGTCTATTATATTCTGATAATGCATTTATAAGGTAAAAGAGCTGATCCCATAAGTAATATCACCGGGAGATCATTGATATACCAACGCTTGTGATAGTTAAGGTCAAAATTCAGTTTACTTTTAGCAAAAAAAGCAGGATTATATGACAAAAAAAAAAAAGAGCAAAGAGCTATACCATATGATAAATGTCATAACCAGCCTTTGGTCCCCAGTACGAGTAGGCTCCAATGACAAAGTTATATGACACATAACCTGCCAGTCAATTAAATTGTGAGGAAAAAAATATAAAAAGTTTGTAAATAATAAATAGTAACCTTTAGTAGCACTCTATCAGAACTTTCTCTGGTTAAATTAGTGTTAGATTGCAAACATTACCACTTTTTTTTTTTACCCAATACAGGTATACACACGTGTAAAAACATGATCAAGATCTATAGGATTAAGTACAATTGAAATTATATTTTACTATCGTCGTACCCAGTGCACAAGGCTCCCGCTTTACGTAGGGTCTGGGAGAGGTGAATGTCGGCTAGCCTTACCCCCATTTATGGAGAGGCTGCTCCCAATGAAATTATATTTTACTATATTAGGATAAAATTTTAGAAGAACAAGTAGAGGATGAGGGAGTACCCAAGACATTAGCAACATAAACTTTATCGAGCAAAAGCGCTTTCATATCTCTTGAGAACCTTGAGAGTTGGCTCAAAGACTTTGTAGCAGGGCTTGGCCTGAAATACACAAAAAGAAGAACAATCTAACAGATAAGAAATACCATTTTAGGATGTTAGATGTGTAATAATCCTGTCCTACCCTCTCTATTGATTCTATCACGCTGACATTACTAAAACTCCTTTTTTTTCAGTTGATTAGGGGGCTAGCGGCCGAAAGATCCAACAGCGGATTAAGAAGCAAGGTCTAGCCACATGAGACACAAGGAAAAAGAGAACAAAATATTTATTTAAACATGTTACTAATGTGCCCATATCTGAAATGGAACTGGCATTTGAATTGCAGATGCATTGCAACAGTTTTTGTTATTTGAGCACCCTACCTGGTAATGCTCAGCAGGTTTTCCCAGTTGACAGAGAGCAAAATGGGAACACTTCTGAAGTGGGCTAATAATTCTATTTTTCTCATAATTACGAAGGACAGTGAAGATAACCAAGTAATAGGGAAAAAATGGATGCAATCGTTACTTACCAAGAAGCTTTTTCTGTGACATCTGAGTCTGCAGTTAGAAGCTAATCAGAATAAACATACAAATTTGGATAACAAATAACTTCTTGAAATTTTAAAAAAAAAATATCAAGCATCAGAGAACTGCTTCCACACTACCTTTCATAGTCATTACGTTGACCATCTTAGATCCACCCGAAGTTCCTGTCCTTACAAATGCATTTAAGGAAAAGCTACAATGTAACTGATTATATCGATAAAAATGATTGAAGCTGAACAAGGTTTCTCACACATTAATACTTTTTAAGATTAACGAGGGATATCTTTTAGAAATTAAAGAATGGAAAGTTCAAATGCCCCATTGTTATCCTACACTGCTAGTAAATGACAACACAAACTGTTCTTGGGACCATTTTCGAACTAAAAAATACAGAGTAATATTTGTTTTTTGAAAAATGAAATCAACTTTGCAAAACAACAATAGAACATGAAATACCTTCAATTAAAGGACTAGTTGTTTCAATAGGTTCCAAAGTTTTCCTTGTGTCAGCAGGAGCAAGACCTAAAGTTACCAACATTACAACAAATCCGATGGATCATACATAAAACATAAGCTTCTTTATCACAGACGATGCATCACAGAGTCGCAAAAAGAACAAAACGATAAAATTCACCTTTCAACTCCAATGGTTTCATCACAAAAGCCAACACAAAATGGAAGCATACTTAATGCCTCTCCCCAGAATGCATAACGCCAACTGAAACTGG